CAACTAGACTGAAGAACAAAACGACAGCAACTTGTCTGTTCCCCTTCCCCCAATTCCCCACCTCTGTTCCCATCCCCCCAATTCCCCAATAAAAAAAAATCTTAAAAAAAAAATAAGAAGAATTGGCTTAAGAGCACGAACTCTGAGCAACAGGGCCACTGGTTCAATTCCCACATGGGCCAGTGATGCTGCGCCCGAGCTGAGCTGTCGCTGAGATGCCAACAGGTGGCAGGATGGCTCTGCTTGTGTAACAACAAGATTGCCTATTCGATGGTGGACTATGCCCACCTGCAACTGCAAGACTGAACTCAGCACCTTGAGCTGAGCTGCCACCTGGATGGCTCAGTGGATAGAGTATGCACTCTTAACAACAAGGCTGCTGGTTCGACTCCCACATGGGGATGGTGGCTACGCCCATCCGCAAATAGACTGAGCTCAGCACCTTGATCTTAGAGGCCAGGAGCTGCCGACGGGAAGCCAGATGGCAACTGGCGCCCTCCACAACGAAGATTGAAGAACAACAAATTGGCTGTTCCCCTTCCCCAATTCCCCAACACTGTTCCCCTCCCCTAACTCCCCAATAAAATCTTAAAAAAAAAAAAAAATCTGCCACGACATATGACAAGATCAACTGAATTTGTCAACCACACATTTCAAATAATTTGGTCTTCAACACCCTTCCTGATGTGTCCCTAAGGGCAGGGACAGGGACATGCAGAGATCTGAAGTCAGTGTCACCGTGGGTCTGCTTACCCTGTCCCCTGACACGAGACAGTTCCCGTTGGGGCTCCAGTTAAGGACAGTGATGTCAGCGGTGTGTGTTGGGGGGACTGTGTGCTGCTCCTTGTCCTGTTTATTAAACACAATCACTTCTCCGCTCTCCCAGCCAACAGTCAGGATCAGCCGTGTCGGGTGCCAGCACAGGGAAGAGACCCGGACCGATCTCTCAATATGCGTATCAGGCACGTGCTCACCCTGTGAGGGACAAGGGGTAAAGCCCATATTACAAAGAGTGGCAGCTACTCTAAGAATTTCTGATGAATCAAGGGAATCAACATCAGCTGAAAGATAATGAGCTGTTTATTAGGGAAAGGTGCTATTTAGTTTTAACAGAAACACCAATTTTCCCCTAGCTGAGCTATGAAAGCATAAGGTTAACACTGATCACACTGACCAGCTGATCAAGAGGTATGACTGCATACTCACAGCTGCTTAGCAGCTAATCAGCATTTTAATAGGCTCCAATAAAACTTTATTTACAAAATCAAGTGGTGGGCCAGCTGGTGACGTTTGTTGACCCCAAGAGCTTTTTCAGGGTCTCTAAGGACAAAGTTATTTTTAGAATGATGCTACGAAGTTATTTGCCTTGTTTACTTTTAATCTCTCACTGGTATACAGTGGAGTTTTCCGGAGGCCACGTGATGTGTGATGATGTCATTGCTCTGGATAGCTAATAGAACCTGCGCTTGCATATTCTTGTTTTGTAGAATTTTCTAAGGAACTAGGTTTAGGGTATAAATACATGTGTTTTCAGAAATTACCTCAGTTCATTCTCAGGACTTCTACGGGACTCTTTCTAGTAATCTCTAGTTATACTTGCTACATCTGTGACCTCATTATCATCTAATAAATCATTATTTAGAAATCCTAAAACTTTCCTGTGCCAATTAGAAACACAAGTACATTTTGTTTCATAATAGTATTCTTTTAATTTTAAGTTTTTGTCTAAAATTGCTATCGTTATGGAATTTAACATTTATTCTAAAGGAAATTTTATAATATATATCAGAGGGTTCTCTAACTCCTAACTGGGAGTTAGGATCTCTTTAAGAACTCACGCACACACCACCACCACCACGCACACCACATCCACACCATACCCCACACTCCCCATACCTCCCCCCTAACACAACCCCTCACACACCTCCCCACACACACAACTCCCCCCATACCACATCCCATACACACGCCACATAACACATACCACTCACACCCCAACCCCCTAAAATCACCCCCCCACCCCATCCCACTCCCACCACACACACATATACCTCACACACTTCCACACCCCCCCACACCCCACACACAACCATACCCCACACATACCACACCGCACCCCCACATATACGAAAGAACAAAAGAGACAAGAGCCAGAAGCTACTGAAGTCAGAATTGTTGCTTCCTGGTACTCACTTGTTCCAGGTATATATCCACACTGCCTCCTGCAGTTGTGCTGATGGAGGCAACTGCCAGAAGTGGATGAACAGGGTGCCAACTGATGTGGGAAGGAGACCCAGCTGAGCCTGGAGCTTCTATTCGGTGGTCAAAATAGAGGGCCATGATGAAACTCAGACCTACTCAGGGTTGAAACCTGCAGAGGAAAAAAACCACCAAGTCCTGTGGTTTTTCACCAAAACAACTGTGTATAGAATTAGGAAAGCGAAGCATCACAAATCTATACTCATAAGCTATTCGGCAACTTACTCGTAAATGCCCCTTCACACCGATGCAGGCAATTTTATGTGGAAGGGATCTCTAACAGGAAAAAAAATATTAGAAGCAAGGGATTGGACCTGCAATGATCCCAGGGCGTGATGGAAAATAGTATAAAACTTCCTGACATCAAAACAATAAAGAAAACCCCTGCTGCCTGGACGACATGTATAACCATGGTCTAATTCCTTTTTATTCTAATTATAAGGACAAATTCTATTTCTAGAGCTCCCCTTTAAGCAAAATCTCCAAACCAAATAAAAGTAAACTGTTTGACAAAAGAGAAATGTACAGAAAAACCTAGAACTCAATTTCTGATAAAGCTTGAAAGCCAAGGTTGTTTTCACCTCCAACTTAGGTGGTAGAGGGCAAAATGATTCCTGTGTTAGAGCGTCAAGAAAACAAACCCACAGCAACTGCAGAGAAGTTGAACCATTAATTACATTTCTTCCTTCCTTCTTTTCTCTCTTTCCTAGGAAATATGTGCATAGGATCCCTTTGAGGACATTATACTAAGTGAAATAAAGCAGACACAAATGGATGATTCCATTTATATGAGGTACCTAGAGTTGTCAAATTCATAGAGACAAAAAGTAGATTAATGGTTGCCAGGGCCTGCTGGGAGGGGAGGGGGTGTGTAATGTACACAGGGTTTCAGTTTGGGAAGATGGAAAAAGTTCTAGAGATGATAATGGTGATGGCTGCACTACAGTGTGAATGTATTTAATGCCACTAAACTGTATACTTAAAAATGGTTAAAATGATAACATTTTAAATTATATATATTTAACCACAACAAATTGTGCCAAAAAGAATACTCAACACATGCAGAATTCTATCAGTCTATCAGAGTAGGGAATGGACCATGCCGTTTGCTTTTAGCAATGCAATGGTTGTATTAGGGGGAGCCTTGAAGGCTCCGTTGGGATCTAGAGAAGGAAACTCTGTTCAGCGAGAGGCTGGAAAGCACACAGGTACAAATGAACAGTGGCATTTCAAGCGTTTACCTTTTTCTTATGACTATGTACCCTGAATACTAAACAAAGGCACAATTTCTGAGGTGGTGCTCTCACCACCACAAACTGCAGGGCACCTATTCAAGGCTCCTGCACCGAGCAGCCAGACACTGGTTGGGGATGCAGGAGGGTTGGGGGACTGAGGTGAGGGGAAGGGGCAGGATCCAGGGGTGATCTGCACACACACATCACTTAGGGGACATCTACACTGGTCAGGACTCAGATTTCTTTACGTCCTTAGGCAAACCTGCAAACAAAGCCATTAAAAATGAGAATACACCAGATAAACACCGGGTGATTTAATACAGCAAAGGAAACCTTTGTGTTTTAACGTATTGCCACCAACCAAGCATCTCAATTCTGGACTTTGGGAAATTTGTATTCATACTTAACAAGTTTACTTTGTGAAAATATGCCTCTGAAAAATGAGTAACACATCAATTTTGTAATGATGGCGGAAGAATGATAATAGCACTTGAAAATGTTAAACCTGATTTCCTCTGTATTTTTTATTTCAAATGTCACTTTGTAATAAGCATGTATGCTAACAGGTTTTTACGTTACTTTTTTCCTGCCTGGGGCTTCCCCAAAGGCTGTCTCCCTCAAACCCCTCCTTTGGGTACTGAGGAAGTCTCCTTTCCTCCAGGGAGCTCTCGGACTTGACTTCTAGGTTGTTTGTGCTTCTGCCCAGGGTCCCCATAGAACCCTGTGCTTCTCCACGGCTGCATTTAGACTTTATTGTAAATGTGTGTGATTGGCCATCATCCACTCCCTCCAGACTATGTGACCCATGGTGGGAGACTGCTGGAGCATTGCCAGGCACAGAACAAGCCCCCAATAAGTGAATCCCTGATGAAGATATTCTCAAAGAAAGCTGTAAAAAGTGGGTTACAGGCCAGGGTGAATGAGTACATTTTTATCCAGTGTATGATTGCTCATCATCACTTTCACCTGCATTGTAACATTTTTCTACAATGTATAAGTATTATCTGCAGAATTACAAAAGTTACCAGAGAAAACACAAGGAGGAGAGATGACTAACAATAACATCATTGCCAATGACATCTATTAATGGCATCAGTTCAGACACTAGAGCCCTTCTTTTCCTTAAAACAAACTCAGGGTCCTTAGAACATAAAAGCATTTGGTAAACGTATAAACTTTGGGGGAAAGAAAAAAAAATTCCACTTGTTCTAACCAATTTGCTCTTCTCAGCTACAGCCGTCCAAAATCTTTACGGCCTCCATTAAACCAACTTTTGGGAAATTATCTGTTAAGCTCATTCAACTGAGGGGTTCGTGGTACTAAGGCTAACTGAAGTTGCATTACTGCTTGGAGATGCTGCACGAGAGAACCCGAAGGACTTTGGGGCAATAGGGGCTGAGTGGAGGGGCGTCGGCGCAGGCACTAGTGGCTACTCTGCAAAGCCTCACCGGTTAGGCCACGGCCCCCAAGTCTTGGGACGTGCGGGGTCAGAGCTGCATCTCGAGGACATGAAGGAAAGCCATCACTAGTTGGGACGGTGTGGCTCCCTCGGGTTCGCAGGACAGACCTCGCAGAAAGGTGGTTTCTTATTCTCTCCCTGCCCCGGGTTACCGGGAATTCTGCCAGCATCGCCCACCTCCCAGTCCGGTCGGCTCCGTCGGGGCTCACACAGCCATGCGGCCCTGAGTCGGACCTGGGCTGCGCCTGATGTGGCCATTATCTCGCGCTGACCATTCGGTCACCGCGCGCGGAACCACCGAGCCTTGACCTATCCGTGAGGGGCCACGAGACAGCGGCCGAGACCGGATTTCCGGACGAAAATAACCTGAGAGGGCACGGGATGGGGTCTCGCTCGCCTAGTCGTCGCCCTCTTCCCGGCCCCCGTTTCTCCCCTCACCCCACCGAC